AAGCAGAATCACAACTCAATCCTAGGTTTTCTGGTTCTGCTAACACCTTTGGGTACCGGTTTTCCTGTATGTTTGCCCCTTTGAAATAAGAATTTCTACTTACAAAGTACTTACTGTCTTCCCCATATCATTGCAGGTACATTCCTTGTACTGAGTCATTTAACTTCCATGTTCCGACTGGGACGAGGCAGGAGCTGCTAAACTGGGGCCTGAGGGCTCCATCTAGGCTGCTGTCCATTTTTATAAATAAAGCTTTATCGGGACACAGCCACGCCCATGTGTTCCCTGTGTCTGTGAATAGAGTCGGGCCCATCTGTTCAAATGCATCTGGTCTGTGGCTCCTTTTGTGCCCGGAGGGCCGAGGTGAGCAGTTCCCACAGAGCTGGTAACTACTGTGAGGTGTGAACACGTCATCCGCTCTTTACCGAATGAAAATGACTGATGGTTCGGGGAAGACTGATCACGTGCTGTGCTGGTCACATGGTAGTGGGAGCTAACTTCACATATCAGTGTTTCGTGTGCTCACTTACAAAGCCCAGGCCCACCCCGCTCGACTGAGTCCTGACAGAGCCTGGGATTATTATTTTAATAATCTTTATATCTTTAATCCTCACTCGAGGATATTTGTTTAAAATTGTTTTTCTGTATTGTTTAGAAAGAGAGGAAGGGAGAGATGGGAACATGGATGAGAGAGAACATCGATTGGCCGCCTCCTGCATGCCCCCCACTGGGGATTGGACCCACAACCTGGGCATGTGCCCTGACCGGGAATCAGACCAGCCACCTCTTGGTGCAGGGTCGATGCTCAACCCCTGAGCCACACTGGCTGGGCCAGAGAATGTTTTTCTATTTATCTTCAGATAGAGTGGGAGGGAGGGAGAGAGGGAGAGAAACATCAATCAGCCTCCTGCACGCCCCCCACTGGGAATCGAGCCCACAACCCCAGCATGTGCCCCGACCGGAATCCACCTGGGACCTCTCAGTCCACACTGGCCAGGCGAGTCTGGGATTATTAAAAGACAAGAAGCCAGGATTGAGGCAAATCTGGAAAACATTAGCCTGGGACAAACTAAGTCTTCCCAAAATGTTTGTTGAATGAATGCGGTCACATCAGTTGTGACCACACTCTGTGCTCAGAGGTCTTCCAGCCATAACTCAGAAGCAGGTCTACCGTCCACTGCCTGCAAAGCTCCTTGAATACTACTGAAAATCACCTCCCACATACCAGTAAAGATACATGTATTGCTGAGAGGGATAAAATAAAGGCTACTGTTACTACCCAGAGTCTAACTGTCCGTCGGTTGCTATTTTCATGCACACCCTCCTTTCTGGACTGAATCACTATAATTCTATTGAATTCTCAAAGCACCACGGACCTGTTTTGGGTGACAGCTCTGGAAAGGGATTCCACTTGGGTTTAGGTTTGTTAGTTTCTTGGAAATGTTTGGCTAAAGAGCCCAGAAAACACATCATCATTCCTGTGGGAACAGAAGAACTAGGGAACATTAGTTATTATTTGGAAATCTTGAATTTATATGACCAGACTTAGACGGAGCACATGTAGCCTATTTTGATGTATTCGTTTTGTTTATTTCTTGTTGTTGTCAAATTACCCTTGAATGAAACCTTGTCTTTCGTAGCTCTTGACCACCGCCCCCCCAACAGCCCCAAAGTCATGTTTGATGCCCTGAGGACGCAGCCTGGACGGGCGGCCGGTGCCTGTGGCAGCCCCCGGCTCGCTGGCTGACGCTGGGGCGTCCTCTGGGTGAAGATCTGCGCTGGACCTGCAGGTGCTTTGGACAATATCGTACAGGTGATCATTTCTGTGGTGGCGTCCACTGTGCAGCTGCCCTTCCTACCTACCTCTGGGTGGTTCTCCAGGGCTTTGGTGAGCAGGGCAGAGAGGAAGGAGCTACCTCATTCTGAGGGGTGAGTGTCCCTGGAATCCAGACGCTTCCCGTCTCTGATGACTTTGGCTTTTCTGGAGTCAGACCCGGGACCGATTTGGGAGACAGTGCGGCTGTGGGGTCCACATCCCATCGGCACATGGAAGACGCACAACTTTGATTCCCTTGGGGCTTATCATGAAGGTAGCTGGTGACAGATGACCTGGACGCTAGACCACTAGGAAGTTACACTTTGTCTGCCCTCAGCCAGCAGCTGAGAGCCAGGCTGACTGCCGAGGAGGCACCCGGCCAGGCCGTCCGTGCAGACGGACCTCGGGGCTGCAGGAACAGCCCGAGCCAGTCACTCAGATCGTCGGGTCTCAGTCTGCACATCTGTCCAACGGGGTGACCGTATGGACCATGACGATTTTATAGGATCTTTGGGGAAATGAAGAAGAGACAGGGAATGAGATTCTTTTGATCAATTAAAATGTATTATGTAAGGGGATATTAACTGGAGACTAAAATAATAACAGTAAATATTTGCAGTCAGAAATGCAAATAGGGCCCGACGGGTGTGGCTCCGTGGATTGAGCGCTGCCCCACACACCAAGAGGTCACCGGTTTGATTCCTGGTCGGGGCACATACCTAAGTTTCAGGCTTGATCACCTCTAGGGGGCAGGCAGGAGGCAGCCAAATGATGATGTTTCTCTCTCTCATTGATGTTTCTATCTTTCTCTTCCTCTAAAAAAATCAATAAAAACATTAAAAAAAAAAAAAAAAAAGAAATGCAAATAGGTTCCCGTGTGGATGCTCTGAGGATGTGAACCTACGCAACAGCGGCGTGTGTCTCGTAACTTAGGCCTCCATGCGTGAGGTCAAGGAACCCTGTGATGTCCTCTTATTTATTTAACATCTGTGTGAGCGCTTTTAGGCTTACACGTTAAAAAATGAGTGAAGCCCTGGCCGGTTTGGCTCAGAGGTTAGAGCATCGGCCCGCGGACCAGAGAGTCCTGAGTTTGGTTCTCGCTAAGGGCATGTACCGGGGTTGCAGGTTGTCCCCGGCCCTGGTTGGGGTTGTGTGGGTGGCAGCCAGTCGATGTGTCTCTCTCACATGGGTGCTTCTCTCCCTCCCTCCCTCCCACTCTATCTGAAAATAAATGCAAAAAATATCCTTGGGTGAGGATAAAAAAAAAAAGAGTGAAAATCAGTTTCTGTATATCCCCTCCCCCATATTTTCTCCCATTATTAACATCTTGCCTTAGTGTGGTTCATTTGTTACAAGTGAGCAAATACTGATCCGTCACTAGTAACTAAATTCCACGCATGAGGTTCACCCTGGGTGGTGCGCACTCCATGGGCTTTGACAAATGTGTAGGAAACGCTGTCACACAGAGTCCCCTGTGCACCCCCTGCTCTTCCCTCCGTCCCTCTCCGGACTCCTGGCAACCCCGGGGCTGTTCACTGTCTCCATAAACTTGCCTTTTCCAGAATGTTACATAGTTGGAATCTGACACTATGTAGCCTTTTGATACTGGCTTCTTTCACTTAATATACACTTAAGTTTCCTCCATGTCTGTTTGTGGCTTCAGAGCTCATTTTTCACCACTGAGTAATATTCCATGGTCTGGATGGACCATGGTTGATGTATCCATCACCTGCTGAAGGACATTCGGTTACCCCCAAACTTTGGCCATTATGAATAAAGCTGCCAGAGACACTTGTGTGCAGGTCTTTGTGTGAACCTAAGTGTTTGGGGGCTTGACTGCGGGACTGTGCGGTTACAGTATGTTGAGTCATGTAAGAAACTGCAGACTGACTTCAGTCTCACACCATCTGCGTTCCCACGAGCTGGGAAGGCACCTTTCTGCTGCTCTGCCTCGGCCCAGCACGGCGGTGCCGGTGCCCTGGGCTGTGGCCGTTCTACAGGTGTGCGGCGCATCCCTTGTCTTAACTTGCAGTCACCTGAGGACATACAGCTTCACCGTCTTCTCACGTGCTGTTAGGCCTCTGTGCCTCTTTTAGGAGATGTCTGTCAGGTCTTTGCCCATCTTTACAATCAGGTTGTATGTTTTCCTACTGTTGAATTTAAGGTTTCTTTATTCCGGACGCCAGCCCGTTATCTGATAAGCCTCTCCCAGCCTGTGGCTTGTCTGTGGATTCCCTTAATACTCGCTTATCTTTAATTATTTAACCTCATCGTCACGGTCCAACTATTTTAAAGTACTATTGGCATTCTCAGCTGTTAGAGGCTGACAGTCCTGACACCCTCTTCCTGCTTGACGTGTTTTGCAGTTGGTGGCGGCTGCAGGGGGACCAGGTCATCAAGCCCCTCAGGGCCCAACCTCAAGCCTCATGTTCTTAACGGGGATCCTCACGTTGTCATCCGAGCGTCAGCCTGTGGCCGCCGGGCGGCTGGGCATCTGGAGCTGACCCCGCGGCGTTTCTGCTGACTGGGTCACCCTGTTTGCCAGGGTGCTGGAACAGTGAGACACCAGTTGGGTCACGCTGAAGACATTCCTGGCGCGCAGAGCAAGCTGCTCGTATTTTCGGTTTGCCGGGTCCAGTGAGTTAAACATTTGGCCTCTGCCAGTGTGCTGCTCATCAATGCCCCCGACAGGAGGAGGGCTTCTCCTGCTCCTGCTTTTTCTAGAAGCATGACCACATCCCGGCTGTCGGAGAGGCGCACAAGGAGAGGGTGGCAGCGGGCAGCGGAACAGGAGGCCCGTGGGACGCGGGTCTGGGGACAGCAGGTAGCAGAGCCGGCCGACAGCTGTCCCTGCTCCTCAGACGGTCCCTGGCTGCCGCGCGGCAGGTGCAGCCGGGCTCTGCCTGAGTCTCCGCTGCACAAAGGCGACAGGCAGCCAAGGCCACGCTGCCCTGGATCACACGAGGGCGCACACTGCACCCAGTGAGGTAAGGAGCAGGTGCGGCCACCAGAGGAGGGATGGGAAAGCATGCTGCCACAGCTCCGTGGGCGACACCGTGTGCGGCTCACAGCCCACCGACTGGGCTGCTGCCGCCCTTTCGAGGCACACAGATGTCCCCGTTGTGCGGGGAGCGGCTCTGCTTCTGCACCGCGGTCAGTGCCCCTTCCCATCCCCGGCAGCCTCATGGTCCTGGAGGCTGGTGGCCCCTTGGCGCTCTGGTTTCCGGTACAGGGAGGCTGGCTGGGAGACTTCGCCAGGAGAGGAGCCCCCTCCGCATCCTTAGAGGTCTTGGTGACATGGTTTGCTGACTGTACCGTGTGTGCCAATGAGACTTTTTGTTTTAGCTACAACGTAAAGGGGGTTTCAGTGTTTGTTTTGTTAAATTTGAGACAGTCTGTTCTATTCCCCAGGAGCAGGTGGCTACCGGGATGCTTGGTTCTGAGCAGACGAGGTGTCACAGAGAGGAATGTCAGGGCTGAGAGGGAACAGACTCACACCCCCTCCCCCTACGCAGGATGCTCCCTCTCCGGCTTTCGGAGCTCAGAATGACGTGGCGTGGGGTGCTGGAGGGTTCGTCGCTGTGTAGTGTGAACCGAGTAGGCGCAACATGATCCCAACCGACATAAACAGTTGCTGTTTGCCCCCAAAGCTGGAGCAGATGCTTCGCATAAGCCTGTCTTCCTCCCACATTCTGGGCCAGATGCTTCCATACATGTTAGGTCTAAATATACATGTGCATATACATGCATTTGCTTTGGCTCTATAAATAATTGTGAAAACAAAATTCAGTGTTCTCGGCACTATTTTTAGAAGGAGAAAAGTTATGGGAAAGATTCAGGGACCTTCTTGTGAGAAAATGTCCTGCCGGAGCATTTCCCAGAACCCCGCTAAGGATGGAGAAAATATGATTTATATTTTGCCATTTTTAGAGACGTTTTTCTTAAAATATCATCCAGAGCTTTAGTTTACTGTCTACACGAGAAGGAAGGTTTAGGGAAACCATGACTGAAATCAGAGAAGTTAAATATGTGTATTTAAAGAACAAAGATGTATTTATAACAATATCTCTCCCTAGTGCCAATGAATAGAAGTGGTTCTATTTCTTGGTTTAAATGCATTTGGGCAAAATCTCGTAATGATAACAAAGAGATATTCGTGTTATTGCCCACCCCAACCCATCTTATCTGTAGGGTATTGTTCCATCCAGTCTACCCTAGTTTACTAATTAAATGATAATTTAATAGATGAACATCGATAGGATGTTTTCAAGTTTTGACTTTTGCTTGCATTGTTCATGGTTAAGACATGAAACCTTAGAGATGCTGACAGATTTACAGGGGATGAGTCAGATTTTTAAAGCATGTAGTGTTCATAACATACCCGTGGGATGTTGAAACGCCCGTGGTATCGTCAAATGATTCTGTGATACTCATTCTTTGCCACCCCAGATCAATAATTCCCATCCAACGGAGACTTCTGAGCATGAACGCTCGTCTAGTCTACTGTGGAGCCTCTGGGGCCCTATCAGTCCCCTCAACTAGGGACTAAGACCCCAAGGCCAGGGTTGGACTGACCGTCTGAGGGGGGTTACCAGGGAATCTTGTCTGTTTCATTCCAAAGCAATGCTGTGCAGGTCAGAGGAGGATTTTACGTGGGGTCGGGGAACACTTTCCCTGTAGGGAAGGAAAGCCAGTGACCAGGAGCATCTTCCAAGTCAGAGAGCAACACTCAGCCACACCCTCTGCTTTCCAGGCCCCCCCCCACCCCGGGGGCTGCCGAGAGCCCCCCCCCGGGGCTGCCGAGACCCCCCCCGGGGCTGCCGAGACCCCCCCCCGGGGCTGCCGAGACCCCCCCCCGGGGCTGCCGAGACACCCCCCCGGGGCTGCCGAGACCCCCCCCCCGGGGCTGCCGAGACACCCCCCCGGGGCTGCCGAGACCCCCCCCCCGGGGCTGCCGAGACACCCCCCCGGGGCTGCCGAGACCCCCCCCCCCCCGGGGCTGCCGAGACCCCCCCCCGGGGCTGCCGAGACACCCCCCGGGCTGCCGAGAGACCCCCCGGCTGCCGAGACACCCCCCCCCCGGGGCTGCCGAGAGACCCGGGTCCAGGCCGACGCCCCGACGCCCCTCTGTCCTTGCAGCTGGAAGACCCCGGGGGAGGCCGCGGCTCCGGCGCCCACATGATCAGCACCGCCCGGCTGCCTGCGGATCGGCGCGTGCGCATCGCCTTCAGCCTCGACCCGGCCGCAGGTGCGCTGGGGGGGGGGGGGGCTCCAGGTGTTCGGGTGCAGGAGGGGGAGGGGCGTGCGCGGACCCGCTGGGCGGCCTAGCGTTTCCTTCCCCTTCTCCTTCCGCCTCGGCTTCCCCCGCAGCTCACTTCCCGCGACAGCGAAGCGGGTCGTTGCCCGAACCTCGTGCGGACACGCGGGCGGGGGGAGAAGTACGTCCCGGTCCGTCCCCGCAGCGTTTCCGGAGCCCCAGCTCGGGACGGGCGGGGCCGCCCCAGGGGCCTCTGACCCGGGGCCTCGCGGGGGCACAGCGCTGACCCGGGGCCTGGTCCCCCACCTGCCAGCCGCGGCCCACGGGCGAAGGGCTTGTTGGCGACACAGTGCGGATAATACACACGGTCTGATGCTGTGACATATACTGTGTGAGGACATGACGTCATAGACATAGTGCTAGTGTTATAATGTACATAGTATATAATGTGTGAGGGTACACGTGTGTGTATAATGTTACAATGTATATAGCGGATGTGCTCAAACAGCATTGTCCCTTAGAACTTGGGTCTCTTGAGGATTGATTTTCTTTCTGTCTGTCTATCATCTATCTATCGTCTATCTATCTTCTACCTACCTACCTACCACCTATCTTTCCTCCCTGCGGTGCCCTGGGAGAGGTGATACTTTAAGAAGCAATGACTGAGAAGGGACAGGTTCTTCCCCAAACAAGGTACAGTCAGGACGTGGGCTCTGTGACGTCCGCCGTGACGCAGGGGGTCCAGCTTTGCTTTGCGGTGATCACAGTGGTTTCTGGACTGTGCGGCCCCAGTGGCCAGGTGACTCCGGAGCAGGAGGGGTGAAGCCTCCCCACCTCCCCCACCATCTGGTCTCTCCACGACCTGCCTGCCCACTGCTCCCCACACCTCGTCCCTGTATGTGTCCCCTTGAAAGTCAGCAGTGAAGGGAAGTCCTCCCAACAGGCAGGCCGATCCGTTGCAGCGTAGAAGTGACAGCCAGCATGGACGCCTGTCTTGGCGTTAGGCATTTACCTGTATAGGGACTGATGTTCCCAGTCGGCAGAGGCAGAGACTGAGGCCCAGAGACCACACTTGTAGCGAGTCACGGAGTTATGATTTAGACCCAGGCCCCCAGATGACCGTCTGAACCCTCGCCATCACCCCACACTGCCCCTCTGAGGAGAGGGGAGGAGAGGAGAGGAGGGAGAGTGAACAAGAACTCCACACTTTCTGCTCAATTTATCTGCAAACCTAAAACTGCCCTAAGAACATAAAGTCTATTGATAGAAAAACAAACAGGAAGCAAAGAAGGAAAAGGCCTTGTGTTTTCATACGTTTTGGGAATGCAAGGCTCTGAGGGATAGTGTGTGCCGAGTGGCTAGCTCGCAGGACAGATGTGTGTCCCTGAACCCAGGGAGAAAGAAGACGTTTCATTTCCTCTTCCTGTTCATGCCCCCTTGCCAAGGAAATTTCAGTGTATCAGGCGTGTGTATTCCAAGAATACTACTGCGCCATAATTCAGGGCAGGACAAATACATGTGCTGCCCCCCTTCCTTATTTCAACAGACTTTCGTCTGTGTGCAGAGGGAGCCAGGAGGGGTGAACCTCACCCTGGGTTGTACGCACAGACTCTTGTTTGAAGTACCAGACTGATAGCTTGTCATTAACTCACCACCGTCCTGCAAGCTGTCTGGGCCCCTGACGGGGGGCCTTGTGTGTTTTTCATCAGTCACTTTACATTGATTTGTTTCCATCTCTTTCTTTAAAAAAAAAAAAAAAAAAAAAAAGTATGTTTTTATTGATTTTTTAGAGAGAGGGGAAGGGGGAGAGAGATGGAAACACCCATGAGAGAGAGAAGCACGGATCCGCTGCCTTCCGCAGGCCCCCTACTGGGGATCAGCCCGCAACCCCGGCCTGTGCCCTGCCGGAATCACCGGACCTCCCACTCCATCCACTGAGCCACACCGGCCTGGCTGTTTCCATCTCTTTAAACGGCACAACAATGCCCACTTGTGAAAAAAAAATTGCTATCGTAGTTTCAAATAGGAGAGGTCGTTTATTTCAAGTGAGTCCTGTTCTCGCTGTGTGGGAGGCCTTCTCCTGTGGTCAGTGTCCCCGCAGAGCTAGGGAGGGCACCTGACTGGGGTCCCAGGGAAGAACTGGTGTTTCTCAGCCTTTGATGAATATCACCTGCGAGCACCCTCAGCACTGCGAGTCCCAGGCCCCGACGCAGCCCGGGCTCCAGCGCAGGGCGGACGCTCGTGTCCGCGAGCGCCCGGTGCCGGTGGAGCCCACTGTGCACCTGTGCCTTCCAGTGCGCATGGCACCCGGACCGCACACCAGGGAGGACCCCGACTTTCCCCGGAAACGGGGCAGCTGAGGTGAACGTTCAGGGACTAATTTCATAGTGTTGGTTTTTATTGTTGAGGAGTAAGCAGCGTCCATGAGAAAAGGACGCATTTTTGCCTGTGAGTGTTGACTTGTTCATTTCTTATGAGCCTGATACGGTGTTCATTTCCCCGAGCACTTTGGGGCCGGTTTTCTTTTTCTCTCCCCTCCCCCCTCCCTCCCCCTCTCTCCCTCCCTCCCTCTCCCCTTCCCCCTCCTTCCCCTCCCCCCTCTCCTCCCTTTTGCACATTTCTTTGAGAGGATTTGGGATAGGGGTTAAGAACACAGTGCCAGCCCTGGCCGGTTTGGCTCAGCGGTTAGAGCCTCGGCCCTGCGGTCCCGAGAGACCCGGGTTCGGTTCCTGCTAAGGGCGCGTACTTCGGTTGCAGTTTGTCCCCGGCCCTGGTCGGTTGTGCGGGTGGCAGCCACTCGATGTGTCCCTTTCACATCGATGTTTCTCTCTCTCTCTCTGTTCCTCTTTCTCCTTCCCACTCTACCTGAACAAAAAATGGAAAAATGTCCTCGGGTGAGGAAAAAAAAAAAAAAAAAAAGAACACAGTGCCAGCCTGGCCGGTTTGGCTCAGTGGTTAGAGCGTCGGCCTGCGGTCCAGAGAGACCCGGGTTCGGTTCCCACTAAGGGCATGTACCTCGGTTGCAGTTTGTCCCCGGCCCTGGTTGGTCGTGTGGGTGGCAGCCACTTGATGTGTCCCTTTCATGTCAATGTTTCTCTCTTTCTCTCTTCCTCTCTCTCCCTCCCGCTCTATCTGAACAAAAAAATGAAAAAAATGTCCTTAAGTGAGGATAAAAAAAAAAGAACACAGTGCCTGTCGCCAGTGTAGCTCAACGGTCGAGCACTGGCCCATGTGCCACGAACACGGTGTTCTAGCGTCAGCTGGTGTGGTTTCTACGCCCCTTGCCATCCCAGTCTACAGCATCTTGCCAAGTCACTAAACTTTGCCGAGTTGCTGTTTCCCGTATGATGTGTGAGGGGATCTACGGAGCTGTCAGAATCCAGGACCACTGCACATGCAGCGCTGACCACATGCCGACACACTGCACACTGGCGGGTCCCCGAGTCCTGCCTGCGCCTCGCACTCGTGCTCCTTGTCAAGGTAGAGCGTACAGTACGAGTGACCAGCAATAGTTTAGGGACTGGCTATCCAGCCGGTGGACTGTGGGTGTCCCTGGACTCCTTTTACCCGTGATCTGACGCTTTCTTAGTGTCTACGCTCCCAGACTCTGCCCGAGGTGGGTGATGTGCGCCATAGAGGGTCCGGCATGATTCTTCCTACGGGTGCCGTAGCCAGAGGTCTGGGGGAACCTGTGGTGTTCAGAGCAGACAGAGCAGCTTCGTGGACGATGTGGCCGCCCCTGACCTTGAAGGTGGCGCTGAGGGCAGGGCAGGAAAGGCACCATTTCTCGGTACAAGTACAGAAAGGGACATTCATCTTTTTTTAATCATTGTAGAATGTATTACAGATGTTCCTCATTTTCCCCCCATTGACCCCCTCCTCCCCACTCCCGCCACCCTCCTGCCTTTTCCCCGCACTGTTGTCTGTGTCTGTTGGTTATGCATATAAGTTCTTTGGTTTATTTCTTCCCACCCCCCCAATCCCCCTCCCATCTGGCAACCAACAAAATGTTCTCTGTATCTATGAGAATGTTTCTGTTCTATCTGTTCATTTTGTTTGTAGATTCCATTGTCGATAGATATGTATTCATTGCCATTTTGTTTGTTCATATATTTTATCTTTTTCTTTAAAAAGACCCTTCAACATTTCATATAATAATGGTTTGGTGGTGAAGAACTCCTTTAACTTTTTCTTGTCTGGGAAAGTTTTTATACGGCCATTGGTTCTAAATGACAGCTTTGCAGGATAGAGTAATCTTGGTTGTAGGTTCTTGCTTTTCATCACTCTGAATATTTCTTGCCACTCCCTTCTGGCCTGCAAAGTTTCTTTTGAGAAATCAGCTGACAGCCTAATGGGAACTCCCTTGTAGGTAACTAACTGCTTTTCTCTTGCTGCTTTTAAGATTCTCACTTTGTCTTGAACCTTTTGCATTTTGATGATGATGTGTCTTGGTGTGGGCCTCTTGGGGTTCATCTTGTTTGGGACTCTCTGTGCTTCCTGGACTTGTATGTCTGTTTCCTTCACCAAGTTAGGGAAGTTTTCTGCCATTATTGTTTCAAATAGGTTTTTGATTTCTTGTTCTCTCTCTTCTCCTTCTGGCACCCCCAAGATGTGAATGTTGGCACGCTTGAAGTTGTCCCAGAGGCTCCTTACACTAGCCTCATTTTTTTGGATTCTTGTTTTTTGCTTCCTTATATTCCAAATCGATGGTTTGCTTCTTGGCTTCACCTACTCTACTATTGAATCTGTGTAAATTATTCTTTATTTCAGTTAGTGCCTCCTTCATTTCTGACTGGTCCTTTTTTATGCTCTTGAGGCCCTCACTAAGTTCACTGAGGTTCTCACTAAGTTCATTGAGCATCCTTATAAGCAGTATTTTGAACTCAGCATCTGTTAGGTTGCTTATCTTCATTTTGCTTAGTTCTTTTCCTGGAGATTTTTTCTGTTCTTTCATTGGGACCTGTTTCTTTTTCTCCTCATTTTGGCTGCCT